GCTCAAGGCTAGCGCTCTACCACTTGAGCCACAGCACCACTTCCAGCTTTTTTCTTTTTGCTTATGTGGTGCTGAGGAATTGAACCCAGGGCCTCATGCTTGCAAGGCAAGCACTCTACCACTGAACCACCCTCCCAGCCCTTACCATCCCCTCTTATCCAGCAGTTTATTCCTTCTGTATAGCTGTGACTTCCCTAGGTATCCCAAATCTTTTATCTTTCCTATAACATTTTTTACTAAGAGAGATCAGGAGTCTTCCAAGGTAGAATTCTGGGCAAGAACAGTAATAGTTTTGCCTATGTTCCTTAGGAATAGGACTCCTTACCTTGGAATACCAGAAGTTATGTTATGACTAGTTCATTAGATATATAAGTAATGCCATTCTGAGGTCTATAAATATGATACCTAGAATCAGGAAGACTTTTAAGGCTTATAAAATCACGGTTGGGCAGGGTTTAAGCTTCCAGAAAGCTCTAGATTATCATGAATCTCACTCAAAGGGTACTCAAGAAGCAGAGTTTTGCTCCCAGAGAGCTTATACTTCTAACATAAAGGAAAAATGACATACTTCAGAATCGTTTTCCCATCTTTTAGGTCTAGAAATGTCTTAGGGATGCCCACTGCTAAATCTGGGTCAGAGTTGCATTCACTTTCAGGAGAAGATGATCTAGCTAACCTAATGAGTTTTGGAACTTCTCATGGGTCATGTGTATGTACTGAGGTACAGAGATTATAGCTTGAACTTTTGGTACAAAAAGATTATGTGTATGTGTATATGTATGCATATGTGTGTGTGTGTGTGTATTAATGCGTGCATGTGTGTGTTAGTACTAGAGCTTGAACTCAGTGCCTATTGCTCTTTTTTTGCTCAAGGCTGGTGCTCTAGCATTTGCATCACACCTCTAGTTCTGGCTTTTTTGGTGGAGATACAGGTCTCACAAACTTTCCTGTTTAAGCTAGCTTTGAACTTAGATCCTCAGATCTCAGCTTTTAGAGTATCTAGGATTATAGATGTGAGCCCTCAGTGCCTGGCTTCTAATACCTTCCTTTATTGTCAGTCAGTGAGTGACTTCAAACACATTTTATGAGTCCTATTTTTCTTGGTTTCCTTATCTTATTTGAGGATGCTGATTATTAAAACTATTATTAAACTTTTAAATTTGTGTACATATTAAATATGAAATCTAAGATCAATAGACAAATAGCTGTACTACATAAACTTTCTTGAACTTTACACTTAGCAAATTCTGTGTAAGATTCTACATTACTACCTGTTAGTGAACACGGAAAACTAGGTTGATCAGCTGAAGTCAGGTACAAGCTATTCTTACTCTCTTGACAAGGCAAAATGTCAGGAACCCACCTTAGGAACCATTACTAAGAAATGACATTCCCTGCTCCCCACTTTTTAAAAAAGATAATGTCTTCCTATGTAGTGTAGCGTAGCCTCCAACTTGTAATCTTTCTGTCTCATACTTCCTAGTGCTGGAGATTATAGCCATGTGCCATTATACTTGGATATGAAAAACATAATAATAATAATAATAATAGTCAAGATGTAGACAATTCTGCATATAGAAAATAGACAATGCTGGGGTCTGGTGGCTCATGCCTGTAATCCTAGCTACTCAGGAGGCTGAAACCTAAGGAACACAGTTTGAAGCCAGCCTGGGCAGGAAAGCCCATGAAACTTTTTTTCTCCCATTAACCACCAGAAAACCAGAAGTGGTGCTGTGGTTCAAAGTGGTAGAGGATTAGTCTTGAGTGAAAATGATCAGGGAGAGTGCTCAGCCCTTGAGTACAAGCCCCATGACCAAACAAAACAAAACAAAACAAAACAAAACAAAAACCCAACTCTCCCCCCCAAAACAAAACCCCAATAACAACAAAAAATAACCAGGAAACTGGTCCTCCTCCCCTCACCTTATAAAACATGTCCCCCTCTTCCATCAGCTTGCTCAACAGGATTATCATGATGTCTGGTTTGGAGGTGGCCATCGCCCATGTGGCTGGACCTGTAGTGTACAGGATGCATGATGGGTAAAAAACTCATACAATGTAAGGGTGGTAGGAAGCTAGGTGAAAAAAACATCCTGGGGGATTTTCTGCTGAGAGAACAACTTGCTTCAGAATAATTACCTCATTTTTTAGACCTGGGAGTATTTTAGTGACTCCCACTGCGAAGAAACTGTGTTGGCTTTATTTGTAATTCACCTTAAAATAAGAATGTCTGAACTGTCTGAACTTGTGCCACGGGAGGGCAGCAAAGCCTATTTACTGCATACAGGCACACAATGGCTTAGTATGGAATTATTTTAAATCAGGAAAATTGGGGAAATAATTTAAAGGTCACCACAAGATTAAAACAATTAAAAAGATTATTTAGTTTTGTTGTGACACTCAAAACTCCCAAATATTCAGACTCTTAAAAAATTCAAATATGTCCTTTTGCAGAAGGGAAACCATTAAAAACTCTAAAGATTCCCTTAATTTGTAAGTACCAAATAGGATTCCCTGGGATTCACTTTAAACCATGAACATAGTTCAAATGTCAGATAGACATGAAACAAAGCAACATTACTGAGACTACTCACAAAAAGAAAGAAAAGGTTAAATTGATTAGTTTACAGATGCCTGAATTGTTTACCACTAAGCTTTTCAGGGTTAGTTATTAAAAGCTCAAGTTATTCTCTACAACAGTCATTTAAAAAGTCTTCTTTTAAGGTGAAGTAAATTAAAAGATTAGAGGTGTAGGGAACTCATGCAGGCTAAAATCAAAGAGGAGAAGGCAAAGCTGACCAAGCCATCAGACCACGCCTGATGCTGACAGCGGTGAAATATACCTCGTGGGCGACTCGGTAACGTCTGACAACCTTCAAAGAAAGGAGAAAACAAAAAGTTGTAGGAGAGGAAAAAAAAATGGATGATGGTGAAAAAAAAAAAGAAGGAAAGAGCAGCAGTGAGAGGCAGGCAGCAAAAAAGCCAGCATATCAGCCAACCCTTGTCTACAGGTCTGTGGGGCGGGGGAGGAGCTGGGGCAGCAGCAGCAGGGGCTTGAGAGTCTGAAGCACATACAGAGCAAGGGAAAGCAAAGGCTCATGGCACTGCAGGGTTTCAAGATGCTTGCAGGGTGGGGCTGATACAGAGGCAGCACAAAAGATGTGCTTAAGCTTAGTGTAACCTCCTGGTTAAGGCTGTTACAGGGGCATGGCAGAGAACCATATGACTGGACACAGGGGACTACAGCCATAGCTCATGGTTGCTCTCTCTGGGCTAGTAGTCTTTCTGTTCACTGGGACAGTAACTGGGCGAGGGTAGAGGGGAAACTTTATACACTCATATCAAATACCCAGGGCAGCCAGACCACTGGACCAGTCTGGCCCCTGGGCACAGATGGCCAATACCATCTTTCTTTCTCTTACCTATTTTGGCTCCTTTCTTCAGGAGAGTGACCACAACAGAAGTGTTCCGGCACCCCACTGCCCTATCCAAAGGGCGCATCCCACTGTAGTCAACATGCTCAATCATGGCCCCATGATCCACCAGGAACTGGACCTAGGACATGGACCATGAAGGACAGTTAACACAGGTACAGTGGCTCAGCACTGCCTCACTGAGTGATATGGCTACTGCTACTTTTCCAGTTGCTGGTCTGAAAGTGGCTGTAGCTATGTATTTCAGATGACAGGTATAGTTTTGGTTTTCAACAGTGTTTTGCAAACTCTTGCCCTCTAGCAAGTACAGATATAGATCTGTCAGTAATTACCAAAATATTACTTTGATCTAAATCATTTTTGATCTAAGATAAGATCTTTGATCTAAGTGGAGAATGTCTCCTATTCCTACTTTACTGAGGTTTGTTTAAAGGTACTCACCACCTCAGCATCACCATAGAAGGCTGCCAGGTCCAGTGGGGTGCGGCCATTTTTGTCAGCATGATCTGTGGCAGCTCCATTATCTACCAGAGAACGAACTACTGACAGATGACCCTTCAAGCAAGCCCAGCTTAGGGCTGTCAATCCTTCTTTGTCCATTAGAGCAATGGAGGCCCCTAAAAGAGCAAGAACATATAAAAATTTATAGCAGGAGAGAAAGATTATATTTAAGGTACATGCTCTGTTAAAAGAATACCTTTCATGTTACCATGTTAAGAGTGACCTTAGCTGGGCATAGTGGTATTCTTTTATAATCCCAGAATGTGGGAGGTCGTAGCAGGAAGATTGTTAATTTGAGGTAAAACCTTGTCTTAAACAAATAAAAAACAAGCTGGCTGGATGCCAGTGGCTTACACCTGTAATCCTCGCTACTAAATAGGCTAAGATTTGAGGGTTGTGTTTTGAAGCTAGCCAGGGCAGGAAAGTCCATGAGACTCTTATCTCCAATAAAATACTCAGAAAAAGCTGGAAGTGGTGCTTTGGCTCAAGTGATAGAACACTAGTCTTAGGCAAAAGAAGCTCAGAGACAGTGCCCAGGTCCAGAGTTCAAGGCTCAGGACTTGTGAGAAAAAAAACCCAAAACAAAATCAGAACAAAAAAAATCCCTAAAACAAAATAACACCAACAAAATCACAAAGGGCTAGGGCTACACTGAGTGGTACAGTGGTTGCCTAGCATGTTTAAGGTCCCAGTTCGATCACCAGCAATGTCAAAAAAAAGAAAAAGAAAAAGAAAAACTGACTCTGTTATATCACTTATATTTCAATAAAACTATTGAAAAATTGATCTTACAAGCTGCCAATAGAATGGAGTCCAGTTAGTTGTCTTACTATATAATTAACATCTTCCACAGTGTATTCCTAAAATTAATCTCTATCCTTAAGTTATTTATTCTCTTCTTTGGTGAAATGGATGTTTTCAGTGCTTCTATAATCTCCCTCCTGTAAATGTTTCTGCATTCTCACTTCTGGTTATATTGTCCCTGTATGTGGAATGCTTTTTTCCCTCTTCTGACTTTACTTTCTTCTACCCACAATCAGATTCTCCTGCCTCCTAGAAGCTTTTCCCAGTTCACCATCACTTCATTTTAAATGCTCTTAACTATTTCTCTTATCTGTGTTTAGATATCACACTTGCATGTAATAAATTCTCAATGAATGTTTGCTGAACTGAGTGGAAGTCTTCCATTTATAATAGTGTAGACTCCTTGAGAGATTCTCATAAAATAGGTGCCAGAACATATATACTACCAATGATAGTGCCAGGCTACTTTTTCCTTTGGTAAAGTGGGGATAAATGTGCTCATAGGTGGATACTGAGCACAGGTCACGATAGAAATTCTGTTTTCTCTAAAACAGTCCAGTACATAGAAATGTAAGTACAATGGGGGTGCCAGAGGGCTAGGGGATGGAGGAATTGGGGTTAGGGGCACAAGCTTTGTTACATAGGAGGAATAAATTCAAGGGATTTATCGTACATGATGGTGACTAGAATAACCATGTTGTATACTTGAAAAATACTCATTTAAGCATTTCCATCATAAAAAATATGGTAGGAAGTGGCGCTGTAGCTCAAGTGGTAGAGCGCTCACCTTGAGCTGAAGAGCTGAGGGACAGCGCTCAGGCCCAGAGTTCAAGCCCTATGACCAACAACAACAACAAAAAATTGTATAGTGAAATAGCTTGCTTTAATTATTCTATTTGTGCACATAAAGCAAAACATCATGCTTATATATACCGGCAGAATGTATAATCTTTTTCTTTTTTCTGTGCTGGTACTGGGGCCTGATGCCAATGCCTTGGTATTGCCCATCAACTTTTTCACTCAAGGCTGGCATTCTCCCATTTAAACCATAAGTCTCCTTCTGGTTTTTGCTGACTAATTGGAGATAACAGTTTCACAGGTTTTCTAGCTCCAAATCATAATTCTCAGATATTAGCTTCTTGAGTAGCTAGGATTACAGGCGTGAGCCTCCAGTGCCTAGCTAGAATGTGTACCTTTTATTTATTTATTTATTTATTTTTTGGTTAGTCATAGGGCTTGAACTCTGAGCCTGAGTGATGTCCCTCAGCTGTTCAGCCCAAGATTAGCGCTCTACCACTTGAGCCATAGTGCCACTTATTGTTTTCTTTTTTTTTTTTTTGTCCAGTCATGGGGCCTGAACTCTGGGCCTGGATGCTGTCCCTCAGCTCTTCAGCTCAAAGCTAGTGCTCTACCACTTGAGCCACAGCGCCACTTCCGGCTTTTTTCTTTTTTGCTTATGTGGTGCTGATGAATCGAACCCAGGCCTCATGCATGCAAGGCAAGCACTCTACCACTGAACAACCTTCCCAGCCCCACTTATGGTTTTCTGATGGTTTATTGGAGATAAGAGTTTCATGGCTTTTCTTGCCTGGGCTGGTTTTGAACTGTGATTCTCAGATCTCAGCTTCCTGAGTAGCTAGGATTACAGGCATGAGCCACCAGTGTCTGGCTAGAATGTGTTCCTTTAAACACCTTAAATAGATGCAATTTTTAAATTTGTGAATTAAAATAAATAAAAAGAAATTCAGAGTTTACTTAGCTCTCTTCATAAACTTGTCCCACTTGCTTAGTCCCTTTTATACTCTGCATTTGCTTTCCAGCAGCATTTAGTTTCAACTGTAAGGATCAAACATACTGGACATACAATATACATTTGGTTCTTAGATATAGGTGGTAAGTATTTGGAAAGCAAGGAACCTATACTTTCCTTGATAGTACTGAATAATAGCACTTAAAATAATTCTCACAAATATGATATCTCATAGTTACTAAGTTAGAGATTAACTGGGGATACCTTCCAGGCTGCCTCTTCAGCTGGACAGGATTTTGATGACAGTTCAAGCTGAAGATCTGTCACATCCAGGCTTGGGATCTACTCAGCAGTTTTCTGGCCTCTCACTTTTGTGTCCCTAGAGGTCAGCAGACTTTGTGGCTTCCTATATCAGGATAAAATTTTGGGAAGCACCATACCTCTGACCTGAGGAAAGCCCTTTAGGTACTATTTTTCTGTAACACTGTAGTTTGCAATTAGGACACTGACTCTACCATGGAATTAATGTGAATATAGGAGAGGATTTTAGGAGTTCTCAGATGAAGAATCTATAAATCCCCTGAACTCCAGTTTGCTTTAGTTTACTTTTTAGATAGGGTCTTGCTTTTTCTTGGGGCCTGACTGAGATCAGGATTCTCCTATTTTCCCCCTCCCATGTAACAGGGTTTTACACGCATATGTTACTACACTTGATCCCAAATTATTTTAACCTGGTTAAAATAATATTTTTCCAGCTTTATTTCCCAATACTCACAATGTACTTGACTAGACAACTTACTTATTTTCCAAACTTCTTCACTTTGACACTTTAGCTATATTACTTCTGTTTAAATACAGAATACTTGCTTATTCAGATTTCAAAGTCTATACTATTCTAACTTAACTAACTTTATTGGGACACTTAGGATTAGGCTTTTAGGTATTCATTTTTTTTGGGGGGGTCCTGTCATGGGGCCTGAACTCTGGGCCTGGGCTCTTCAGCTCAAGGCTAGTGCTGCTCTACCACTTGAGCCACAGCGCCACTTCCAGCTTTTTTCTTTTTTCTTATGTGGTGCTGAGGAATCGAACCCAGGACCTCAGGCATGCAAGACAAGCGCTCTACTACTGAGCCACCTTCCCAGCCCCTAGGTATTCATTTTTATTTTCTCTCTCTCTTCCCCGTCCCCTCTCTTTTGCCAGTTCTGAGTCTTGAACTCAGGGCTTGGGCACTGCCCCTGAGCTTCTTTTGCTCAAGGCTATCATTCTACCCCTCGAGCCACAGCACCACTTCTGGCTTTTTCTGTGTATGTGGTACTGAGGAATGGAACCCAGGGCTTCATGTATTCGAGGCAAGCACTCTACCACAAAGCCACATTTTCAGCACATTTTATCTCTTCTTTGTCAAATTATAGACCCTTTGAGGTTCTAAGTCATAGTTTATTAATTTAAATGGTCAAAATAACTTGTAGTTTCTACCATAGTGTTTTACCAATAATGTAGATTAAGTAAATGATTACAGAATTTATTTACCTAGTAAAACCCTCTTATTTAATGGGGAAATAAAAAAAACAGTCCAAAGAGCAGAATCTCTTCAGTGGTCAAGGAGAACAAGCCACTGAAGTCTGTCTGTTGAGCTTCCACTGGCATACACATGGCAGACTCTGTAGCTATATATCTAATGGTTATCAGAGGCAAAAGAGGTCTTGGCTTTTCTAGTGGACACAGTTTTTTCTGGAATATTTACTCCTACTATATCCTCCTTTGCAACCCTCTCTACCCCTGCCCTGCTCTATTCAAGTCTCTTCTCTTTCCCAGCAGTAATGAACATAGAGTTGTATGGAAATTTATACTGGGTAGTTAAGAGTCACCTTGTGTACTAGAAGAGAAACTCTCTGATTCTAATTCAGCTTCAAGTCTGAGGTAGTAGTAACAAATCTTCCTTGAAGGACAGCTGAAGATCTAGTAAGTTTCTAAGCTGCAGTTTTTTGTTTTTGTTTTTTTGCTAGTCCTGGGGTTTGAACTCAGGGCCTGGGCCCTGTCCCTGAGTTTCTTTTGCTCAAGGCTAGCACTCTACCACTTGAGCCACAGCACCATTTCCAGCTTTTTATGTTTATGTTTATGTGGTACTGAAGAATCAAAGCCAGGGCTTCATGCATGCGAGGCAAGCACTTTACCACTAAGCCACATACATTCCCAGCCCCTTAAGCTGTAGTTTGAAGTCTTAGGAAAAAACCTAATCTTCTTAATTCAACTATCTTCAGCTGTTCAGTCTGCACGATTCTTCAGGAGGTTGACTTCCTTGAGAGAAGGTGGCTGGCTTGTGGATGTAGATATAGATATTTAAGTCCAAGTTACTAACAATGGAAGCTCACTGGGATGAAATTATGACTTCAGTCACATCATAACTTCCTGCTTCATGCAAATGACCAGACTCCACTAGATGGCACTGTGGAGTCGGCAGTGATGAGCTTTATTCTACCATGTAGATTTACCATCACCAGCCAATACTGTTTTACCACAGGTGATTGCGGTCAAAGTAATCAACAGGACCCTGAAATGCCTTGCCAGTGCTGGATATCTACTGGAAAAAAATCCCATTAAGCTCATAAAGGACCACCTCCCTTAACTTATTTCCCCTTTTCTTGGAATTTAAGGATGTTGGCGAGTCACAAAAAGAATTTATTAAAATAGACTGATGAAAATATACCGATTCTTCAAATAGGATCCTACAGTTAGCAGCTATCTTAAACTTCTTCCTTGGATTCAAGAAAAATATTAATTGTTCTGGCTTACGAAAGAACTGATAAGGTCACAATACAGCCTCTGGAAGGTGCTTATTGAGTATACATGTAAAAATAAGATGATCAGAAAATAGTGATATGAATCAAAGTGCACACATTTTACTTTGATTAAAATCCCTCAGGTCATGATGAAATTTTAAAGTTAGGAAATTTAAAAATAGGGATTTTTAGAGTTTGAAGGAGTCAAGAGGATTATGTTGTATGTAAGAGGAAAGGAGACAGTCTTTCACTTTCTAAGGAAGTGGATTAATAATCTCCATTTTTATTATTAATTTTTGGTCCTAGTCCTGGTCCTGGGGGTTGACCTTTTTGCTCTCGAGACTTTACTCTACCACTTGAGCCACACAGCTCTACTTCTGGCTTTTTATTAGTTAATTGGAAATGAGTCTCAAGAGACTTTTCTGCTCAGGCTGGTTTTGTACTGTGATTCCCAGATCTCAGCTTCCTGAATAGCTGAGGCATGAGCTACTGATGCCCAGCTAGTAATTTCATTCTTAATATCTCCTGCAATCTATTGTTGGGAATCAGGAGTTCAGTGAGTTATTGTGGAAATTGACTACCCAGCTTCAGAAATCCCAGGACTGACCTTGTGCAAGTAGAAAATCCACAGTTCCTAGATGGCCTTCAGAAGCAGCCATCATCAGGGGGGTACGACCCTGCTTGTCTGCCATGTTGACATCAGCTCCATGAGTAAGTAGAAGATCAACAATCTGAAAGTGTAGAGAAATAGGGACCAATTATTCCAAGAAGATCTATGGAGAAGACATATACATACGATCTCCTATAGAGTATAAAATACTACTGTGTAGGTTATTTCTACAAATAGCTTTTTATACTGCCTATATACAGTAGAGTTGTAATAACATGCAATTTAATTTTTAATTCTCTTGGATATAGTCAAATAAGAAGGATTCTTCTCTGAACTTCTTTATTGAGCCACTAAGTAAAAAAAAAAAAAGTTAAGGCAAGATGTAGTCTAGCCAAATACTTGTGGCTCATACCTGTAATCCTAGATGCTTAGGTGGCTAAAATTTGAGGATTGTGGTTTGAGGCCAGCCTGGACAGAAAAGTCTGTAAGTCTCATCTCCAATTAGCCAGTAAGAAGCTGGAAGCGGAGGTATGGCTCAAATGGTAGAATGACAGCCTTCAGTGAAAAAAGGCACGCAAACACACACACACACACACACACACACACACACACACACACACAATGTACTTTAAACAATACCATAATGGAAGCTCCAACACAAGGACAAAAGGTACTACCTATGTCATTAATATTTTATTTTTTAAAATCTTATATAACTCTGCAGTTTATTTTGAAAACAATCTTTTCTGAAATATCCTTATGATTTGAGGTGAGCTAATTGATGGTACACCAAAGTTTCCTGTTTGCCTGTAATGCTGATGAAAGAGTAATTACTAACATATCCTTACAGCACACCAATGTAATGGGACTCTGCAATTTTTTCAAACTTTTCCCATTTGGTCATTTTTTTGGACATTTGATGAGTTGCATGTGTATGGAAAACATACTCTCTACTGACTGAAGGTAACCTGCATACTAGTGTACTTCCAATCCAGAATTCAGTTCTTACAGGCAAAAGTGGCTCAAATGGGAGCAAATAATCTTACTCCCATGAAATGAACTAGGCACAAAGCAACAAGCAGTAAGAATGCTAAAGATTTATTTTGCCAATCTTCCTTATTTTTTGTTGTTATTTTGAGGCAAGTTATAGCCCAGGTTGGCTTGTACTTATGATCCTTGCCTCAGTTTCCCTAGTGCTTTATTTACAGGCACTACAACTATGCCTTGCTTCTGTCGTAAACATGTAAGTGTATACTATGAGTAAACTGAGTTAGAACATTTCTTGGGTAGGCAGAGAGCTGCTATCAGTAGACTATCAGTAGAGACTCTCCAAGAGCCCAGGTCAGCATAGTACATGAGGAGCGGCAGCACTGAGCAGTGCTAGGCAGGCAACATGCCAGGTAGACCACACTGTCCAGGTCTTCTGGAGGTCAGGTCATTATTATTTCACTGGATTGCATTTTGTTCTTTCATATTTACTTGTTCCACTGTTTTGTAATCAGGGAAAATCAACTAGTCAACTAACTTCCTCAAACTAAAACCTTTTATTCTTGGGTAAATAAAACTAATTGTCACCTACAATTATTTTTAGGATAAGGAAGAGTAAGTCAGGTGAAGAAACAACAAGGGCTGGGGCTAAGGAATGCCCCTACACTTAGGCACAGGACTAGTGGGTGAGTTGCTGGCTTGGTTGTGGGCAGTGCTAGCCTAGTGGGCCTTCTCTAGGAAGGCCCTGCAGCACCTGAGACGCTGCTGGTACACCAGCTCGAAGTCGGAGTCATTTCCATAATAGGGATCATCAATAATGAATTGTTTTTGTGGATCATAGCTCCTCCCAAGTGGTTTGATTTTAGCTTTGCAGTTTTTAACTTGATTACCTTTTCTATTCAAATCTCTCAGATTGCTTTCATCCATACACAGTATGTAATCGAATGTAGCAGTCTTCTTTGGTAACCTTTCGGGCAGTGTGACTCATGGGGATGCCATGCTTCCTCATGCAGCTCTGCCCTCGATAGGGGGGTTTCCCACTTCATACGTGGATGTGGCCATACTGTCTATTCTCCAGTTATCTGAAACATTGTGGTCAGCTAAAAGGTTTCTAAAAACTGCTTCTGCAATGGGTGACTGGCAAATGTTACCCAGACATAGGAATAGCACAGACTTGGGACTGCGTTTGGCTATCTTCCTAGGTGGTCACTGGCTCATTAATATTTTATTAATCTCCAGGGATGGCAAGCCAGCCTACAGCAGTAAATACTCCTGACAAAAATAAAGAACTTTTTTTTTTTGTTGTTGTTGCTGTTGGGACTTTAACTCTGGGCCTTGTCTCTGAGCTCTTCAGTTCACAGTAAGTGCTCTACCATGAGTTACAGTGTCACTTCTGGTTTTCTGGTGGTTAACTGGAGCTAAGTGTCTTATAGACTTTCCTGTTTGGGCTGGCTTTGAACTGTGATCCTCAGATCTCAGCCTCCTGAGTAGCTAGGATTACAGGCATGAGCCACTGGTGCCTGGCTAAAGCACCTTTGATAGTTCTTTAGTACTGTTTGGCTTCTACAGCTTTTTTTTCCTTCTCTTCTCAAATACTAAAGAGTATCATCAGTATGCTATTTCCTCCACCCAAAGTGTATAAATGAAATATGATCAGAATTCAAACATATAGAAAAATTAAATAACTAGAATTTGCACGTATGATATTTTAGCAAGTCTGAGACATCTGAGAGGTTAGAGATCTCTTGTAAAATGAACCTTTCAATGAACTGTGGACAATAGACTGGGAAATGTGAGGAGGTCACCCTACCACCAGGACAAAAGTGTTTAGCCAATATAGATCACAATAATTTTTTTTTCTATATTGTTCTTGGGACTTGAACTAAGGGCCTGTGCACTGTCCCTGAATGTTTTCTTTTCTTCTTCCTCAAGTCCAGTGATATACAACATAAGCCACAGTTCCATTTCTGGCTTTCTGGTGGTTAATTGGAGATAAGAGTCTCATGGACTTTCTTGCCCAGGTTGGCTTTGAACTGTGACTCTCAAGTCTCAGCTAGGATTACAGATATGAGCCACTGGCACCAGGCCACAATAATGGTTATGTATGTTAACTTAAAAAAAGTTATTTTCTTAAAAAAAGTTATTTTCTCAGTTAAATAGAACATCTGACAACAGAAGCCTAAATACTCAAACTAATGACTTGTGGGTAGTCCAAAATCAGACTTTTTTTTCCCCCTCCAGTACTCTGGTTTAAACTTTAGGCCTTATACTTGCTAGGCAAGTGCTCTATGTCTTCAGCCATTTTTCCAGCCCTTTATAATTTAGTTTTCCAGATAGGGTCTCATGCTTTTCCCAGGGCTGGCCTCAGACTTTGTTCCTCCCACCTCTACCTACCTGCTGAGTAGCAGAGATCATAGATGTGAACAACTACACTTAGACTATGTTTTGAGATGAGGGTCTTGCTAACTTATTTGCCAGGCTGTTCTTGAATTATGACCCTTCTATCTCTTTCTCCCAAGTAGCTGGGATAATAGACATGTACCACCATGGCCAGCTATGATTTTTTTTTTTTTAGTTTTGAGATAGGGTCTCATTAAGTAGCCAGAGTGGCCTGTAATTTATAATCCTTTGTGCTTCATCTTCCTGAGTGCTGAGATTATTGTCCTGTATCACCACACTTATTTTCTTGGTATCAAAAGTTCCCACCTGGAATTCATTCCTTCTTATGGGATGGAAGTAGCTACCATGCTTACCTGCCAGTGGCCCTGGCGAACAGTGCTGAATAGGGGCACTGCCCCTCGGCGGTTTGGCTGAGCCACTGCTGCCCCTTGCTCCAAGAGTAGACGGCATACCTCCAACTTGCCTCTTCCGGCTGCAGCGGTCAGAGCTAAGGGCAGAGAACAAAGATAGAGGATAGCTGATTTTTTTCCTCTCTAGTCTACAGTGTTAAACATGGCAATGTATTTCCAAATGGTTTACTTAAGGTAAACATAGCAAGTGACTGTGTTTGATTAATGTAACTGCTACTTTATTTGAGCTGCCTTTTCCAGGAATTAAATTTTTAAAGAAAAATAATGAATTAAGAATAACTACAAGGGGTAACAATATCTGTGGATAATCATAACAAATCTAATGAAAAATTAAACTCACTTGGTATAATTTTTCCTACCTTTCACTTGGTTCCTTAGCTTAGCTACAAACTGTCCATTAGTCTATGTCTGAGTGAAATCTAGACAGAAGGAACTTTGCACAAAGTCTTTTTTAGAGTTAACTGTGTACCACCCTTGATCAAGCTCTTCTCCAGAGCCTTGGGCTCTCAAACCTAAAGAACCAATATCAGAAGTTGCAGTCTAAGGACCTTGGGTCAATTTTTATTCTTTCCTCCTGTTAATTGAGATCAAAGTTTCAAATACATTTGCAAGGATTTTTATATGTAGATTAGAACTGTTCAAAGTAATTTTTTTGAGACAGGGTCTCCCTATGTAGCCTAGGCTGGCCTTGAACTCATGATGATCCATTTTCCTCAGTTTTCTGCCTCAGTCTTCCTAATGCTGGGGTTACAGTGTGCACCACTATGTGTGACTTAGTTTTTTGTTTTTTCGGTGCTCCTACCTGGTTTTGAACACAGGGTCCTGTTTTGCTAGACTTTCTGGTTAATGTCTGGGGCTCTAGCAAATGAGCTACACCTCCGGTCTGGCTTTTAGCTGGTTAATTGGAGATGGAGTCTCACTAACTTTTCTGCCCAAGTTGGCTTCAAACCTTGATCCTTCAGGTCTTAGCTTCCTGAGTAGTTAGGATAAAAGTGCAAACCACTGGTGCCCAGCTTAATAAAGGTCTTAATAATGAGAAAGATATGTGACAAAGGCTATTTTCTTTTGAATATAAAACAATGGAGTCACAGACAAAGATTTAGTGAGTATATATGGTACAGAAGAAACTTTAGCATTCTTTTTCTTTTTTGTCATTGTCCATTATTTATAATTTTTGGAATAGTGGAAATTCTTGGAGTGCCAATTTCATTCTCAGTGTGCCATATTAACAGCAGAAAGAAGATCTTGGAGATACCAAGTACATCTTTTAATACACATTTGTTTCACTTAACCAAGAGATTTAAAACACATTAAGTTTATTATTATTATTATTAATACTGTCCCCATATGTAGCTACATTTGGCCTCAAAATCATAACTCTATTGCCTCCCAGTTCTTGGGAGGTGGAAAACTATTAAAACAGACAGCAAGAGTCATACTTCATTAAAAAAAAAAAGGACAGATATATTTCCCCCTCAATTTGACTTGGAAAACTGATGTGGTAGACAATAGCTCCCTCTTTACTATGGCCACCTATTCTGAATCAGAAAATCAGAAAAGTCATAGGCAGGCACAGGTTATTTCAATTTGTTAGAACCTAATCAGAGAAACCACTGATACCCAAATCAAGTGATTATATTTTGTCTAATTTATTTAACCACAACTGAGGCATAGACAAAATTAAAACCACCTATAATTTCCAAACCTTCAAGTAATCTTTGTCTTCCCAATTTTAGAACATGTATACATATATATATATATATACACACACACACATATAGACATATATACATATATATCTATACACACATACCCTTAAACCAGATATATTGTTGTCTATGTATACTTAAAAGATGTGCACAAGCTACAATTATTTACTTGATAATATTTCCCCCCCATTCTTTATATCCAAGTGGTCTTAGTTTTTCAAGTTTGTATTTTTAATTATTTTTTTAAAAAAACTTCGTTCTGTGTAGATATCAGAATACAAGAGTAGTTTGAGAACATGCCTGGGATAGATGTGCATTAGATATCATAAGAATCATCTTGTTAGATAAGAAATATACTCATTATCTTGCCCATGTAATTGTAACCCCTCTGTACAGTTTTTTCACTTTAAAAAAATTATATACAAAAAATACAAAATCATCTGAAAAAAAAAGAATCGTCTTGTTAGTGTGTAAAATAAACCACTTGGAACATTTCCAACTCCAATATTCTGATTCCATTTAAAGTAGCTTCCTATGTGTGGGGGCCAAATATATTCTTTTCATGAAAGGACCTACAGTATTCTAGAGAAAACAGTCTTGAAACTTACACTATCTCCTCAAATAATTACATTACTCTGGTTGAGCTATTTCTCTCTATTGAATAACATTTTTTTATGAGACAGAATGTTCCATTTGGCCTTTTTCTTTGTTGTATCATCTCTGTTGCTAAGGTTATGATGTCATTTGAAAGCAACTCCAGCTGACAACTAGACATGGTCATTAACACAGCTGGCCAATTTCATCTCAAAACAATGCAACTATGTCAAAAGAAGTCTGGACTTTGTGAAACCCAAGAGCAAAGGAGTTTCTTTGGTTGGATTTTATGAGTCTTATCAAAAACTGTTAGGAATCTTTGAAAGAAAGGAGATTAAGTAAAGCCAGGTCTGTAAAACTACAACTGATTCTTAGAGCAAACATAGCAGTTAAGAATAAAATCTCTTCCTAAGAGACCAGTAACAGATTTTTGTTCCCTAGCTTGTCAGCATCTGATGAGATTAGCTGACACAAATGATCTGTTTTTCAAAGGGTAACATTTAAGAATGTTGAAGAGGCAGACAGGATGCAGCTCTGAGTTGAAGAAATAGCCAGTCTGTTTGGATGGGATGTTGACATTAAGTAGAATGCTGTAAAGGAAATGATTCTTTTATCTATTTTCAATCTTGAAACAGAACAGCATGTAAGATCAATGGGAAGAAGGTGGTTGGGAAGACAGAAACTGATTGCTGATATCTGAAACATTATTATTGAAACATTTAATAAACTATTTTTCAGACAGTCTCTATGCTTAACAAACTCATGGTTAAGTAGGAAAACATAGATATATTACCATATAGTGTAAGTACAAAAGAGGATGTTCCTTCTGTTGGTGTGATAAGGACAGATTCCCTTAAATCTAGTTTATTTGTGAACTCTGGCTTCTTTTTGGATCATTATTCTTAGCCTGTGAAGTTGCTAGCAACCGTGTTGTATGCATGTGTATGTGTGTGTGTGTGTATGTGTGTGTGTCTGCGCAGGTGTGTATGTGTGTGCTTGAATTTGGAGCTTGGGCATTGTCCATGAGCTTTTTGCTTGAGTTAGTTCTTTATCAGTTGAACCACAGCTCCACTTCTGGCATTTTGGTGGTTAATTGGAAGTAAAAATCTCATATACTTTTCTGCCCAGGCTGGCTTCAAGCTGTGATCCTTAGATCTCAGCCTCCTGAGCAGCTAGGATTACAGGCATGAGGCACTGGTATCCTGCTGTGTCAATTCTTAATGCTGGTGTGCCCATTACAGAAATAGGAAAATGTAATCTGTCATTTAATGCTATTTTTCGGGGGAGGGGTTGTAGGGCTTGAACTCAGGGCCTGGATGCTGTCCCTGAGCTTTTTTGTTCAGGCCAGCACTCTACCACTTTGAGTCACAGCACCACTTCCAGTTTTCTGGTGGGTAATTGGAGATAAAGGTCTCACAGACTTCTCTGCCTAGGCTGGCACTGAACTGTAATCCTCAGATCTCAGTTTCCTGAGTAGCTAGGATTATAAGTATGAGCCACTGGCACCTGGCTCTTATTGCTTTTCTTTTGTTATTTCATATGAAGTCTATGAAGATCTGTGGGATGGAAGGGGTTGGCCAGATTGTGAAGGCCATATATGAGGAGCCACATTTGAAAGGATTAAAGAGGTAAAAGGAAGACAAAAGCAGCCAGGATATTCTAGTTATCTGTTCTTAGAGAATCTGATATATAAAAATTATATCTCAGTATTATATTATATGATGAAATATTACATTGATTCTAAGATTCACTGCCCTTCTCATCTTAAAATCTCAGTTGATGTGATAGTATTGTATCAGTGAAACTGACAATAGCTTTCCATCTTCATAATGACATAAAATAATGGTTCTTATAGTTTCTTGTATTTTATATAGCAAATTATACAGATTATTGAAAACATTGTGATCATCATATTTTCCTTAGGGAACAATTTGTATCTTAGGTCAGGATTGCAGAGATCAGAATCTGATCAACTAAAAAATATGTACGATTTTGCCATGGAGGAAACATCGTAATTCAATGAGTTGTTATGCATTTTAAATTATTATGTGCTGTAAGTTAGAAAGGTAGATGCATTTGTAGAGGTAGAGAAGCAACCCAAAGTCCAACTCAATTAGTGAGATGTGGAGTCATTTTCACATAGCAAAGATAACATTCTTTCCCAGAACCAAATAACTTTTCAGAGTTTCAGAAGTTGTCTTACAAATAAATTCCATTCCAACTCTTTTAAATATCATCTTATGTTTACAATACTAAAATTATTGTGTATTAGTATCAAGTTAGCACATTTCATCAATGGGCCATAACTTCTTTTCTTACTCTAATGGTTACATGCCCGTGCCCTTGGCAACAAGGGAGTCCATTGAGAAGTATGGCAACACTGTATTAGGGAAGGTTTTGTGAGAAAGGTAAATCAACACGTCCTTTTTACAGCTCTAGGTCTGGTATGGACACTCCAGAACCGTGGATGTCCTGGCTAGTCTCTTCTCAGCCTGTCCTCTGGCTTCCCTCAGTTTAGGGTTCCAGAGACAGCTGAAAACAGCTGCACACTTTCCTTTAATCTGTCATGGGCTCTTAAGCTGCAGCTGCCTGGCATCTGCTTCCTTTGGCTCTTAAAGAGAGAGGGATTGTTTGAGAAACAAATTCCTGAGATTTGGAACATTCCATGAGATGATATTGAAGAAGTCATGAAACTTACATGAAATCTTGTTATGGGAAGAAACAATTCCATAAATCACTAAACATTTTAAATGAGTTCAAAAGTCTTCTCTAATTTATATATTTTTTTGTGCCAGTTCTGGGTTTGAACTCAGGGCCTGGGCATTGTCCCTGAGCAACTTTTGCCCAAGGCTCCCACTCTACCACTTGAGTCAGAGCTCCACTTCCAGCTTTTTGGTACTTAATTGGAGAAAAGAGCTTGCAGACTTTCTTGCTGGGACTGGCTTTGAGCCACAATCCTCAGATCAGCCCCCTGAGTAGCTAGAATCAATAGGCATGAGCTACCAATGCACAGTTATTATTTTTAATAACACTCTTACCAAAATGCGCTCCCCCTTTTTTTGTTGGTCGTGGGACTTGAACTCTTCGGCTCAAGGCTAGCACCCTACCACTTGGGCAGCAGCACCATTTCCAGCTTATGTGGTACTGAGGAATTGAACTCAGGGCCTCATATGCGAGCAAGAACTCTACCACTGAGCCAACTTCCCAGCCCAGTGTGCTCCCTTGGTCATATCAATATTGGTCTATTTCTTTTGGGAAATACAACAACACACATCTCTGGTTACTCTACCGTTTTCTTTGCCCTGGTTTCATAGAAACACATAAAAAGGTTATTAATGGTTCTCCAGATGCTCATGCTTAGACTTGGAGGAGGGACAATAGTAATTTCCTGCAAAGGCCACAGGAAGAGGCTTCTGTTTGTACAGTACTTAATAACACAGAAATTACTTTACTATAGATCAAGAGAAATTACATGAGATCAAGCCTTATAGAGTGGGTGTCTTCAGTGTGCATCTAGGTAACAATGTACCTCAACACATAATGCTTAACTATTTCAGGTTTCACTCTATCATGAAAACATCTGGTTAAGCCAGAGATATGCACAAAAACATAATCTCTGCTTTGGTCTAGCACATTGTAAAGGAAACTTCCAGTCTTTTAAAGGAATTTTGAAACAAGAAGAAAATTTTTGTTGAAAAGTACTAGTGGTTTTCAAAGGGAAAGAGGACTGAAAGAGGGCAATTGTTTGACTTTTTACTTGGGCTAGGTTGGTCTTCAACACAGAAGTTATAAGAGAAGAGCACCAAAGAGAGGCTAGAGAAAAAATAAGGATATGAGATAGAGAGTCCACACAAACACAATACATTCCAGATGAGAGGAAAGACCATGAGAGTACCTGTCTCTCCCCAGAGACTGTCAAAGCTGTTGATCTGTGCTCGCTCTACCTCCTCTTCATCTTTTTCTGGAAGATCAAGTAGGTAGGACACAATCTGAAACAAGAATTTATGTCAGCTCAAAATTCAGGTGTGGAAAATATGCTACTGACCCTAGCCTGAGGTTTAGAAGATACTTCAATTCAATTCAAGTATCACTAAATCTCTTATACACTTAAGAATCAGAACTGAATATCTTAGCAAGAAATCTCTAAACAGGTCTGAAAAGCATGTCTTTCCAGGTACAGTGTTTGTGTGTTTCTCTTGAATACAATTTACTTACATAGCATGTAATTAAAAAATTGCATGTTCTTCCTATTTGCATTAAATAAGACATTCCTTAATTCTAATAAGACTACAGAGAATAAATATGGAGAAAACAGGGTTTGTATTTCTTTAGAGGAGAGCAATTATCTCCTCCTTCCTTCATAGAACTGTAAGGTCTCTTTGTGTCTAGTAAAAGCATGGCTACCAACAGTTCTGTTTCCAGGAATTTGACTGTCCTGAGAGTTAAAAAAATCTTCCACAGATAGTAAAAGTTTCAGTTTTACTTAATGTTCCCTTGGTTACACATCATGTCAGTTGATATGATGGCTGTTTCACTGGAATCCTATGCAGTTGTGTGGAGCTAGTCTGTAAGGGCCAGGAGAGCTGATTGTTTAAAATTTTCAAGGGTTTTGTTAAGATGTGTTAAACACAGCTAACAATTTATTAAAACAAATAAATTATAACAAGTAAATTATATTAAAAACAAAGGGTAAACAATACTAAGCTGGGGGTGGCTCAGTGGTATAGCACTTGCTTAGCATATATAAGGCTCTGGGTTTGATTCTTAGCACCATAAAAAAGGTGAAACAGAATAAAAAACTGAAGTGTTACAACCTGCTAGTTATTTAACTATATCTTACTATTGTCTATGCTATTGAGATTGTATTTATTGTATCTGTACGGTAGAAATATTACAAAATGGTGTGCCACTGTACATCGGTTTCCACCTTTGTTTTCAGTAATATCACACTTGAATCCTGAAAATAGGATATGGTGGGAATATTTACACTTTGCAGATTGCCAAACATTACAGATCAAAATTTGATCTAAAGCTAGCCATAGGGTAGTAATTGTAAAGTTCAGTTATAGGTAAATCAAAGTTCACTATTATTCTACCCACTCTGGTACAATCACAAATTTTAGCACTGGAAAGACTCTTAGAACTCAAAGCATGGGACATATGAAACAAAAGGAAACAAAGCAAAAATAAAAGTATATGACCTGAAAAAAAAAGATTTGGTTTAGAGCTTAAGCTGAAAGAGGTTTGGGATTAATGAATAAAATCTGTATAAAGGTAAGTGGTATACAACAGTAGATCACATATTTAATGGCAGTAAAATATATAGTAATAATTAGCAAATTGGGAAGCAACTCTATTTGACAAATCATGGCTGAGTTGCAAGCATAGGTTAGCTACAGATACAAATTTGGCAAATCAACAAAAGCATTTATTATTATTTGAAAAGAGTATGCAACATGTTCAGTAAAATTTATAATAAACTTTTGAACACACACACATACACATGTGTGCATAGATATCTGCAATTTATCCTTCTCTCTTGCCTCAGAGAACATTTCATAGCATACCGGTAATTCTATGTAATTACTACAGATTATCACTGTTAAAGGGAGTTAGCAATATGGGGAATAGATCATTTCCAGTATCCTTTCCAACTCTCTTATTTTATGACCACAATTGCAGGTAGTTGGGTATTTGAATAATCAAGTGATTCACAGAGCTTTATCTCCTTCTTCCTCAGAGTAGAGGCCAAAAATTCATACGAGTTTAGCCTCTTTTTTAATTTCCGAGGTCCTTTAATACATAGCTAGGAAGAAAAAACCTCCTATCACCTTCTTCTTACCTCAGTGTAACCCATGCTGGCTGCAGCAATGAGGGCCTGCTGGATGGCATGGCTCTTCTTAAACACTCCTTGCTGCTGGCCAGCCATTGTCCAGTCACACTGAATCAGAAACTTGACAACCTCCAGATGACCTCGGAGTGCTGCATGAACCAAAGCACACTGCCCATTCTTATCTAAATGATCCACCTAAAAAGAAAGAATAGACAATAATATGTGTGAATGAAGATTTGTGGCTATACATGCAATCCAGTTACTCCAGCCCACTGCAAGTGTCTAGGCACTAAGATCCATCCTTTCACAATTGCTGAACCTATCTGATCAAATATAAAAGAAATTCTCTACTCAGGTCAGACCATTACCATACTCCAACTCTTGATGTTCCTTTGGTGGGGAACTTCTTTTCCCCACAAAAAGTGGTGAAACTTTTTTTTTCATGTTAAAAAATAATATTCTCAACTCAAGATTTGTTTTCCTGAGTTACATTCTCCTTTGTCTTCAAATAGTTTCTTTTCAGATCAAGATTTGAGAGACTTGTAGCTTTGCTAGCATAAAAAACTGACTTTGAAATCAAGAAAAAGACAAAAAATGTTTTGGAGTTCTAGTTTTTTTGTGTGTTCCAAGGAAGCAAAGTGAATTACTCATGAATCACTCATCTGATTAGTAAGCTTTGGCAAAGGCCACTCCTCTCTTCTATCAGAAGGGTAGATTCTCAGTGATCTGGCCCAAATGGCTACAGGCACTTGGAGCTTAATGCTACACTAAGCTCCAAAAGCAGTTTTCTGATTTTTGCATTAGAGACAAACGTAGGCTAAAAAAATGACTGATTAACATCAATCCCCTAGAATGTCTTTAGATCTAGGTTTCTTTTCTAGTAAGAATGTAGTTATCTGTCTATGGTAGTTAATAACTTGACACCCAAGTTCTGTTTCTGGTTCTTTCACTGATTGGTTCCATGCAATGACATATGTTTATTGCCTAGTATGAGCAAGGCACCATACAAATAAAATGATAAAACTAGCGGCTAATGCTTACAATTCTAGTTACTAAGGAAGCTGAGATCTGAGGATCATGGTAGGGTCATCCAGGCAGAAAAGTCCAAAAGACTCATCTCTAATTAAACAGCAAAATGCCAGACTAGCTTAAATGGTAGGATGCCAGCTGGAGCAAGAAAGACAAGAGTTTAAGGTTTTGAGTTCAAGCTCTAGTACTGGTGAATAATATAGTAGTATAATGATTCTGCTCAAGAATTTTCAAACATGGCAGGAGGAAATGTGGTAAAAGTCTAACAAAGGAGTACATAATAAATGAAATAAGTAAAAGTACAATAAGATTTAAAGGAAGAAAAAATTAATTCCTGACCAGAATAAGGGACAAATTCAGAAGAAAAGTTCTATCTCAACTTCCAAGACAGGAAATTCTTACCCATGGATTTTCAAAAGATGCCTGAAGGAAGAAATCTAAACTGTAAGGTTGACAATGTAGGTAGGGCTGGGAAGGTGGTTCAGTGGTAGAGTGCTTGCCTTGCATGCATGAGGCCCTGGGTTTGATTCCTCAGTATCACATAAGCAGAAAAAGCCGGAAGTGGCACTGTGGCTCAAGTGGTAGAGCACTAGCCAAGAGCTGAGAAACAGCCCTCAGGCCCAGAGTTCAGGCCCCATGACCGACCAAAAAAAAGTTGACAGTGTAGACATGCCAGATTAAGTGATCTAAATTTAATCAGTAAGTAGTAATGAGGCATTGAGAGTTATTATGCTCAGAACTATATTTTCAAAAACTAAGGGGGAAGAATGAAAGAAACCATGACTCCTTAGAGAAATGACTAACTTCAGAGCTGTGACAGTAGTAATATGAGATGTCTGAAACATCTTGTACAAGAAATAAGGAAGTACTCAAAAAAATAGCAGGGGGCTGGGCGCTGGTGGCTCATACCTTGAGCTGAAGAGCTCAGAGACAGTGCCCAGGCCCAGAGGTCAATCCTCATGACCGAGAAAAAAAAAATAATAGGGGTGTTGAAAGGACCAGCAACCAACCTGAAACAACTATCAAATCTGGGTCAATCTGAAGGACAAAAAATAATAGTTGTAATGGATTACATGCTATAGAATAAAATATCCATGACTCATAGTGATATAAATATAAATAAGCAACTGAATAAGTAAACATAGGAAGCAAGGCAGAATTCTTCTTAGCAGTAGAATTCCTAACAATAAATATTGAAGGAAGCCAGTGGCTCACACCTGTAATCTAGCTACTCAGGAGGCTAACATCTGAGGATCGTGGTTTGAGCCAGGCAGGGCAGGAAAGTCCATGAAACTCTTGTCTCCAATTAACCACCAGAAAACTGGAAGTAGTGCTGTGGCTCAAAGTGGTAGAGTGCTAGCCTTGAGCGAAAAAACTCAAGGAGACTGTCCAGGCCATGAGTTCAAGCCCCACAATTGACAAAAAACAAAACAAAACAAAACATTAAAGGAATAATGAGAATGATTCCTCTGTGATAAACATCTTAACAGAAGTTATCGCAGCAAGAATCAATGATGAATCTCAAAGCTAGTAGATAAAAGTATAATGAGAAACAAGATATCTATCTGACTAGTCTCAAATTATTTGCCTTAAAGGTATTTTCCTTGATTATGAAGGGAAAAACAGTAACTTCAGAGTTGAAAGCTGGAATACACTACCCTTTCACCAAATAATTAAAGTTGTCATCTATAGTAGGACATGTTGACATTATGTTCCTCAAGTGCTGAATTTCACTAAAGGTACAGTATTGCTGCTATGGCATTCTTTCCAAAAATATTTAAAATCTAACGAGAAAATACCAAACCCAATTTAAAAACTTTTTTTCTTTTGGTGGTACTGGGGCTTGAACTCAGGGCAGGCACAAGGCAGGTAGTCTACCACTTGAGCCACTCTTCCAGCCTCAAATCGAAAAAACAGTCTACAAAATAACTGGCTAGTATTCTTCAAAACTGTTAAATAATACAAGTGAAAAAACCCCACAAAATTGAGGAACTACTGTAATGTAATACAATAAATGTCATATAGAATCCTCAACTGGCTTTTGTAATTGAAAAAAGGCATTAGTGGGACAAATGGGAAAATTTCAATAAGGCCAGTAGATACCATTATCTGGTTTTGATATTATGAATATGGTTACTTAAACTGTTAACATTAGAAGACACTGAATGGACATATATGAGCACTTCCTGAGTTATTTTTGTAATGGTTTTACAGGCCTATAAATTATTTCAAAATAAAAGACTTAAAGAAATCAAGAGGATGGTGTGTTCAAACACCTCAATGTCAGACCTGAACCTTTGAAACTACTATAAGACTGAGTTCAGAAACATTAGAACTTACTAGCATAGGCAAGAACATTCTGAAGAGAGTCCCAGGGGCACAGCAAATAGGAGAGAGACTTGACAAATGGGATTATATCAAACTAAAAAGTTTCTGCACAGAAAAGAACATAGTTACTAAACTAAAAAGATAGCCAACAGACTGGGAAAAGGTATACATCCAACAAGGGTCTAATATCCAAAATATACAAGGAGCTCAAGAAACTAACCTCCACCAAATTAATAACTCCATCAATAAATGAACAAAGGAATTAAACAGAGGCTTCTCAGAAGTAAGAAAGAAGAATTCTATGCTTCTATCAGAAAGAATGACATTGCTCCATTAGTAAAGAAATGGAAAGACTTGAAAAAAAAATTATATCAAGCGAAGCAAGCCAGACCCAAAGAAACATAAGCTGTATGCGTTCTGTCAGTTGTAATAACTAGAATATGTCTAGGATATTCTTAGCAGAGGATCACAACATCTCAATAACTATGTGCATATGGCTATATAAAATGATCCTTATAGAAATGAACTCCAAGAAATGGAAACAAGAGGTTTTTTTGATTAGCGAACTGTTTGTAGTTATTTCTTTTTCCTTTCTTTCTCCCCCTGCCCCCTTTGGTTTATTCCCTGTTGTCACTGCTATTGATTTCTGTACCCTTTGTCTTGTATATAAGTTTATCTGATTTGAGGAAAGGAAGGGGAATCACAGAAACAGTGGGGTAAAGGGTGAACCAATGCAATAGACACTATGTTGGAGATGAACTTTACAGCTTGGAGGGGAGGGGAGTTGAGGGGGATGTGAGAAAACAAGGGAGGGATAACACTGCTAAAAAAGAAATATACTCATTACCTTATGTAACTGTAACCCCTCTGTACATCACCTTTGCAATAATAATAACAAAAAAATGGCCAATAAGCACATGAGAAAATGCTCAACATCCCTGGCCACAAAGGAAATGTAAATCTAAACAACACTGAGGTTCCATCTTACCCCTTAGAATTCTAATAATAACAAATGCTGATGGGGATGTGGGGGATAAAGGAACTCTATTACATTGTTATTGGGAATGTAAACTAGTACAACTACTCTGGAAGGTGCTTTGGGGATTCCCCAAAAAGTAAATCTGGACCTACCATATGGTCCCGTCATACTATTCTTGGACATCTACCCAGAAAATTGTAAGTCAGTATTTGATGAAGACACTGTAAAACCATGGTCATTGTTGCACTATTCACAATAGTGAATCTGGAAACAGCCCAGATGCCTTACAACAGATGAGTTGATCAAGAAAATATACACAATGGACTTTTACTCATCCACTAGAAAAATATTATGCCATTTGCAGAGAAATGGATGGACCTAGAACAAATCACGTTAAGTGAGGTAAGCCAGTCTCAGAGAAACAAACAGCACGTATTTGCCCTCATATGTAGAAGCTAACCTAAAATACAACTAGGCATGATAATATATATATAGAGCTCAATGCATTTACACACTAACTAAAGGAGGTTATACTTAGGGGTAGAATCTAAAGGTGTAACTCCTCTGAACAACTAATATATTATTTATCACAATGAATACCAGGAAGTGAAAATATGTTCTAGTGGGTGGGCAAAAGGGGGAGCACAGGAACGGAGAAGGAAGGGTGAGCTAATGTAGTCATTACATTCAGTGTACATTATGTAAAAAAAATGACCTACATAACTTGAGGGGTAGGGATGGGATGGGAAATGGGGGAAAATGATGACATTGAACAAGAAGCACTGGACTTATAACCTGACTTATGGAATTGAAACCCCCTAGTACAACTCCTTAACAATAATAAAAAAAAGAAAATGGAATGTAATAGATAAGGCTAGAATCTGAAAAGGGAGCTTGTCATACGAGGAGATAGAACAATTTAGGAGGACGGTAGCAGTTGCAATGGACATGAAGGAATGGCTGTTCAAACTTTTTTCAAGATAAAATTGAAAAGAGTTGGCTATTAGATGAATTTGAAGAGACAACAGAAGGGAAAGTATCACATCTTTTTTAGTTTTGGGGAAACATTTTTAAAGCTAGGAAAAAGAGGTAGTTCCAGGGTAAAGATGACAGCTGTGTTAGAGAGTTAAATGTGAAGTACCAGTGAGGTATCCAGGCACAACAGCACAACTGTCAAGTAGGCAGTTAAAAACATGAGCTAGAGCTCCAAACTGTTTCAGGAATTAGTAATAAGAAGTTAAGACTCACTTAAATATAGGTATAATAGAATCCAGCCTGTGATTTTAATGCTGAGACCACGAGGCTGGTGATCTTCCTCATACTTAGCATTACAATAGTTCTATTGGGAAAAGAATGAGAGAAAAGCAACTAGAGAATCAGGAGAACTAGGATATTAAAAGTGCAATGTTACTGTTACTATAGAGAGGCTTAGAAGAGGGGCTTAGAAGAGTAAGAATGGAAAGAATTAGTTTGGTGTTTGGCAGTAGTGACTTTTGAGAAAGTAGGTCAGTTATCTGCTGGAAGGTAGAGTGTTTGTTTCTTTTGGTGCTACCACAGTTTGAACTCAGGGTCTCACAACACTTGCTATTAAGGCACTCTACTATTTGAATCATATCCCTCAGCTATTTTTTGCTGTTTAGTTGTATTTTTCAGGTAGTGTCCTGTGTTTTTGCTCAGCGTGGTGATGGTAGTATCATACCACAATTCTCCTATCTACAGCCTCTGAAGTAGCTAGGATCATTAGCATGTACCATCATGCCTGGCTTATTGAAATGGAATCTTGCTAAGTTTTTACCTGGGTTGTCACTGATCCACAAGATAGTACTAGAGGTTGAATTCAGGGCCTTGAGCTTGCCAGGTAAGTACTCTACTCCTTGAATCATGCCCCCAGCCCTTTCTGCTTTCATTGTTTAAAAAATTATCTTTCAGCATCTTTTTTTCTGCATTAAGGTCTGGACTGGCTTAGACAGTGATCCAGTTTATGCTTTCCTTGTGTAAGAATGAAATTGACATGTCACCATACTCAGTTTTTTATTGGTTGAGATGGGGGTTTCCTGGAGTTTCTGCCCAGGTTGGCTTCAAAGCTTGATCTGTCTATTCTACACCTCTGGAGTAACTATGATTATAGGCATGAGCCACTATACCTGGCACTTGTATGAGATTTAAGTGAGTCTCTCTTTGGGCTAATGATATACCCAGACTTCTGAAATAGCACAGATACTAAGAAAGACTCTCCATAGGAAGAAAAGGAAAGTAGTAGTGGTGGGCAGCCATTACCTTGGCCCGTTTCTTGCACAGCAGCATCACAATACTCAGGAACCCTGCCGCTGCAGCATATCCCAGAGGAGTCAGGCCACTTTCAGAAGAAGCATCCACATTGGCCCCAAACTCCAAAAGCAGGGCCACCATTTCTGTATAACCAAGATGAGACTGGACACACAGGATTGGGGCATTATTTAAAACCTCTGTCCGGTAATTAATATTAGCACCTCCCAAAATCAACAGTCGGCTGACCTAGAAATAAGCAAATAGAAATAACAATCAAACATCAGTCATATCCTTTATTAAATTATCTGCGACTCTACATTTCATAGCTATGTTACTTTACATTATTCATTTTTTAATCCTTATTTTTAAAACAGAATGTAGCCAGGAGCTGGTGGCTCATGCCTGTACCCCTAGCTACTCAAGAAGCTGAGATCTGAGGATCTTGGTTTGAAACCAGCCCAGGCAGGAAAGTCTATGAAAATCTTATCTTCAATTAAATCTGGAAGTTGTGCTGTGGTTCAAGTGGCAGAGTGCTAGCCTTGAGCAAAAGGAAGTCAAGGACAGTACCCAGGCCCAGAGTTCAAGCCTCAGGACTAGCAAAAAAATAAAAAAAAATAGTAAAATGTCTCCTATAAACTGCTCATGATCTAGAGTGAATGCTATGTGTATCATAGTATTAAACACTAGCTTTATTCTCCAGTGAACTCTTAGTTGAAAAAGCTCCTCTCCCAGGGCCTGGGAAGGTGAGTGGTAGAGTGCTTGTCTTGCATGCCTGAGGCCCTGGGTTCGATTCCTCAGCACCACATAAGCAAAAAGAAAAAAGCTGGAAGTGGTGCTGTGGCTCAAGTGGTAGAGCGC